CCCAGGCAGGATTTCCCCCAGGAGCTGCTGTGGCTCCATCCCTCCCTCTCTCCCTCCCTCTGGTGATCCCAGTGCCTGGGGTGGGGAAGCTGCTTCCAAGGCAGCACATAAACCTCCCACCAGCACCCGAGAGGAAACTGCTTGGCCACAAGTCATAAAGCAAACAAATAAAAAAAAATTATGAATCAAAATTAGGGTTTTGCAAGATTAGTAGGACGTGGAGCTAATTAAAAGTGCCTGAGTGCGTCTGACGGGCACAGGCAGAAAAAAGGCTGATTTAATTAATAGAAAAATGAAAAGGAAACCCCAGGACTAGGGGAAAAATTAAGGTTTTCAGTGATAATCAAATAAAACCAAGTGTGCAAATATTAAATCTGAAGAGAAATAACAAACTCATCAGCATTAATGAGTAAAGCCAGTAAACAGCAGATTTGAGTCAAGAAAAACAGGAATATCACTTGAAACGCTGTTGTGAGTGACAGGCCATCTATAATATCCTGTAGCTTCAAATCTCACTTGGTTACATCCCAGAAACTAAAATAAAAGCTTTATTTTAAAAGCAGATAAAGTAATTATGGCAATTAAAAGGCATCACCAGCAGCCCAGGAGTGAGGTAGGTACAGAGTTTGCAACACAACCAAGCTCAGCAATGCTGTGTTGGGGGGGATTAAATTAAATATCTACTTTCATTTGTCACAACCTCCACTTCTAATCTTCATTTATTACTTGCCATCTTTGTTTATTTGTTTGTTTCCTTGCAGGAATATCTTCATATATCCCAGAATCTATTTAAATATTCATTATATTCCCATATTTTTCATTTCCAATCAATCTGGTCCCAGACAGAACCTCTCAAGAATACTGATGTGATGCTCTTGCCCTTTCCAAGCTGGCCTGGCTGCAGGAGCTGAGTCCTTTGGCAGAGAGGTTTCATTTCAGTCACTGACAACAGCAGCACAACAACAGCACAAACCCCTCCTGGGATTCTCTCGCTCCTCTCTCGTTTTCCAGCCAGTGAGCGCTGCCCTTACGTGACTCTGAGTGCTCACAGCCTGCCTAGAACCAGGGGAGAGAGGCCTGGGCTAAGGCTGGAATGTTTTCTCCCAGCTGCCATCCAGCTCTGCTCTGGATACTGCAGATCCCACTGCTCAGTCCTCAGGAGAAGGATCCGTGGCTCCGGAGCTGCCAGCACGTGTCTGGAGCCACCACTTGTGGTCAGTCCTCTGGCCAGTGCCCAAAAGGGTTCCCCACGTCCCCCCTACAGCCCCAGTGCCCAAAAAGGGCTCCTCATGTCCCTCCTACAGCCTCAGTGCACAAAAAGGGCTCCCCACATCCTCCCTAGAGCCCCAGTGCCCAAAAAGGGCTCCCCATGTCCTCCCTAGAGCCTCACTGCAGCTCTGAGACACCCTGTCAGGGCTCTTCAGCAGCCTCACACCACCCAGAGCATCTTCCACCTGCCAGGGCCAGGAGCTGACCCACAGCTCCACCAGGATGATCTCATGGGCACCTTCCACCCCACTGTTTATGTACTTTAAACCCCTGGAGAAAGTGGAATTCCATTCCTGAGGGTTTATCACCATGCAGACACACACTTGCTATTTTCCCAAATTGCCCAGAATCAGCTTTCTAAAGAAATATGGGTTTTATGTTCCCCTTTCCAACAGAGAAGGGCTTTTTGTGCATCCTCTGCAGCTGAGATTAGCACAAAACAACCTGGAGTGATGGAGTCATTCCTGTTTTTCACCTGGAAAACACTGCTAGGTATTTCCCAGGCAGCATACACTGGGAATGGGTAAGGGATGTGCCACCCTTGCTGGCATAAGATTATTTTCACCTCTGCAAATGATCTGTTACTCCTGTGGCATCAGAGAGCAAAGCACCAACCCTGCCAGAATCCCTCGTGCTCATAATCACTCACCAGCCCCAAGTAAATCAGAAGCTCTATCAAGTTGATTATCTCTGCATGTAATGCTTTGAAAATACATAAATTCAGATTTCACTCTGAGCATAGGTGGCTTACAGTGCTTTCTTTGGGATCAGATAGACCTCACTGTAGCTAAACATTACAGTGGCTGCTGATTTCTTAATCCATTTTCAACATGAACGTTCCTCAGTTGTTAAGCCTGGTGTGAAAGAAGCCTTTCATGGATGAAAAATCCCCCCGGAGCAAAATATACAGCCCATGTTTTCAGGCTGTGCTGTGTGAGCTGGGCACAGGCTTACCTGCCACAAAACCTGCTCAGCCACAGGGGCTTGAGGCAGATTACAGAGCTCTGAATTTGTTCTGATATAAAACCTGCTCAGTTCTTCGTGTCTGCATTGACAAATGCCTCCCATGCCTCAGACTGAAACTAGTAATTTACCACAAGAGATAACAGCCCGTGGCAAGCAGCAGGAGTGAGGCTTGTGAGGCTGGAGAGAAAGGGCTGAGTGTCAGAGAGTGAGGCTTTCCCATGTCCCCAGCATGGTAAATAATCTCCAGCCTAATTCTGTGGATTGCAGCAAAGGCTTCAACTCCACAGTTTATTAATTAAGATGTTTATCTTACTTATTTTAAGCCTCAAATGTGCCTCCACTTCTTATAATCTCCATGGAGCTGCTCATCCCTGATATCAAGCAGCTATTGCAGTGCACAGAGTCAGGGCATGGATGGATAAATGGATTCATTTATTGATGGAATAATGTGAAATTTCTGCTTGTCTTTCAGGTGAGATCCTGAGAGCTGCACCCCATGTAGGGACAGGGACACTGCAGTGGCCGAGGGTGCCACAGTGGGTGACCCAGCACAGCTCTGGCCCACAGCCCCAAAAATGCCCCAGCCAAGGCTGCAGAAATCCTCACTCCACGTGGTTTTGAGGTTTGGAGGAAATCAAAGACAAAAGGAAACACAGGCAGGCTCCGCTGGCGCATGGGAAGGCAAACAAACCCTGTGGCTTTTCTGACTTGTTTTTCTTAGGGAGCTTTAAGAAAGTTTTTGCAGTCACTGTGAACAAATTCCTAGAAATGAGAAGCTGTTATTATTCCTAACGTAATGCCTTCATGGGACAGGCCCTGCAACAGCAGAGCTGTTCTCAGCCTGAGCTGATGGGAGCCTTCCCCCTCTCCTGGTGCAGCCCAGCTCTCCTCCACGTGCACCACAAAACCTGGAGCACAACATCTCTAGAGCAGATGATTAATTTGGAAGCCAAAGCAGGAGCTGCCTGAGGACAGGTTCAATCCCATTTAGGCAGGCAGGTTGTCAGTGCCTGAAGTGAGCAGCAAACCAGGTACTTTAAAATAGATTATTTCAGGCATTTTCCCATTAATGTGAGAGGGGCTGTGGTACATGGCCCGAGGGCACTGAGCAGGGCTCATCTGGAGCCACAGCATGGCGGGTATTACCCCAAAAACCCAAACCAGAGTCCCCACTGTCTCACTAGGGAAACCTTGTGGGAAGACAAGCAGGCTGTTCATTGGAAAGGAGGAGGGGGTTAAAATCTTCCCTGTTAAAATGCAGCGCTAAAATCTCAGTTAAAAAATGACAAAGTCAGGAAAAGCAAACGTTTAAAGTTGCAAAACCAACACGGCACATCCTGTTTGTTTTACAGCCACATCGCACATCCTGCATGTTTTATGGTTTACATTTTACAGCATAAACAGTAATATATTAAGCTGCAGAGTGAAGCGAGAGAAAAAGACGGCGTGAAGAAATGCCACGTGCAAAGCCAGCAGGTCAGGATGGCTGTGGCAGCGAAACGGTGCCAGGGGTGGCTTTGTGTCACTTTTCCTGAGCCAGCCCTGACGCAGTTGTTTCATTTCATTTCATTTCCGTGGTGCTTCCCCCCTTCAGGGGGAGCAGGGATGGGCTGTGATTAATAACAGCAGCATTAAACGGTGCCGGGGAGCCTTTGAAGCTCACACATGTCTCAGTGGGGTCAGTAGGGTGGGGAGGGGGTCAGGGCCCAGCACGGGGCTGGGTTATCAACAAGTCCCTGCCAGGGCCCAGCTTTTGGAGGCTCAAAATCCACAAAAAATGACAAACACTGGATTTACAAAATCTAGATTTTTAGCAGTGTTTTAAGCTGGTGGGGTCCTCCTGCCTCTTGAGTGAACTCCCTAAAGCTCCAGCTGATTTAGCTGTGCCAGAATCACTTTCTGGACAGCTTTGGGAGGCATTGGGACCCTGATTCCAAGTGAAAAGCTACTCTTTAGAAGCTCCATGCACAATCATTTTAAGCAAGACAGATACATCCTTTCCCACTCTGCACCCTTCTCAGAGCCCCCCTTGTGCTCCAAACTGCTGCTGCTTAAAACACCATCAGGTTAAAACCCACATTTGATGACACAAATTAGATTTTCTTACCTGTGGTAAAAGGAGGAGCTGATGGCACTAAACCTAGAAGGATTTTAAACTCTCTCTTCCCTTCCTCCCACCAAGGATGGTTTAGTTCTATGTGACTTTTCAGCTCAAATTGTGCAAACCAGACAGGTCTGTGTTTTTATGTGCAGTATCTGAGTACTCACTCTCCTGGCAGGCTGCAAGGGCCTTTGGTCTGAGTTATTAAATGCACTGGGGGAGATAACTGTGTGCTCCCCACTTCTGCTTTCCCAATACACATGAATCAAGATTTTCCAAATAAAATACTTCATCTTTTTTAGGGCTGCCAAAGCCAGCTTGGAAAATCAGAAGTTTATGCAAGCTGCTTCTGTGAGCTGCATGTACCACGTGCAGGGCTGAAAATCCTGCAGTGCTGCCTGGAAAGTTCCTGGGCACAAAAGAAAAACTTGGTGGCATCCAGCAGGACACAACTGAGCCAGTCATGGCTGTGTTTTCAGGAGCAGGGGAAGCACACAGACCCTCTCCCTTTGCATTAAACATCCCCCACTCAGCACAAAATAATGTTGTTCCTTATTATTCAATTAACTGTTATTAACTGTGACATCCCACCCAGCATCCCAGACACAAACTCAGCATTACAGGCCCACCTCCACCCAAACCCCTTGCAGAATGTCTCTCTTACGTGTCCAAAGGGATCCAGGTGGTTGTTGGTGAGTTTGAGCTTCTGGAAGGACACCAGCTGCCGCATCCAGTGGGCTCCTGTGGCCGGGGAGTCGGGGTGCACGTACAGCCGGCCTGGCATGGCTGGCTCAGCCTTCCCAGCCACCATCCTGGGAACAGAGGGGACAGATGGCATCACCCTGGCACAGCCTGGACATGGAAGGGTTTTTTGTCCTTGGACTCATCCCAGCAACACTCCCACCAGCACTGGGGGGATGCACTGGGACTTGGGAACTCGGGGAGGCTCCTGCTGCTCATGGGAGTTTTTGGGATCCTTGTTTCAGCATCACAGGCTGGCAGAGTAACCCCATCCCTGCTCCAACACGGAATTTCCTTGGGGCACTGTCTCCACATGGGGATTGTGGAGACATTGTTCAAGGAGGAAAGCTTGTCTGGGTTTTTGGAAGTCTTCAAAGACCCTTCTGCAAAGGGAGATGGCCCTGCACAGGAGAAAGAACCTGTGGGCAGTAGAAGTGGTGTGGCTGCACCCTTCACAGCCAGGCAGGGTTCCCACAGTCTGTCCCAGTGGGAAAGGGCTGCTTCCCACCCTGGAGCTGCTCCCAGCGCCCTTCTGCAGCTCCCCTTGCCCCACCATCAGCTCTGGGACACAAGGCCCAGCCATGAGACATCATTTAATGGCAACGCCCTCATTACTCCATATTGTTCTCCTCTTATAAAACCTCAATAAAAGCAATATTACCAAAAACAACAGAAACTTTCCAGCAGCAATAAAAGGAAAAGGGGAAACAGCTCTAGGGCTGGCAAAAACTAAATTAGACAGAGTTAAAACTATCCATCATCTCGTGTTTAATGTCTGAAACACACAAAGTGGCCACCATGGTGCAGAGACCCTCAGTCCACTCCTCTTACCCAGCGGCATTCCAGGACAAAAGCACACGGAAAAAGGATTTTTTATTTAAAACTGGAGCAGTCCTAATGTGCAAGTAAATAATTTCTGCTTTCTGGGATGTCACTGGGCTCGTTCCCTGTGAAATTTTCCATTGCTTTTCACCAGGCACAGCCAGTGGAAGGGTTTGGGGAAACCACAGCGAATAGTGGCAGTGAGGGAGGCTGCCGGGCATTTTGCAGGGGCAAAATCAAAAGAGAAAACAACACGTTTCCTTTGTCAGGCAGCAAAAATCCCAGCTGCCTCTCGGGTAAGTAACTTCGCTGGGAAAGGCACAGGGAAGGGAAGAATAGCAGAAGAGAATCAGGGCTCTGAATAAACCACCCCACATTTTGCTTTATAGCTGCACTCCTAAAAGCAAAATATTACTATAGAAGAAAGGAATTTAAAACTTTTCTTGAGTCACATAGAGACCTAGTTTTGAGGACCAAAGGGGCCATTAGATCATCCTGTCCAGCCTCTGGTACAAGGCAGGCTGTGGCTTTACCCTCCTACACTGGACAGATAACCTGTGCTTGCTTAAAGCATCTTCTACAAGGAAACTCCCCAACCTAGAACACTTTGGGGATGGAAAAGTCACCACCCCCAGCAGCAATTTTTTCCAGCAGTTAACCACCCAGCCTGTTAATATTTCATTTTATATTTGTCTGGTTTAAACTTCCAGCCCTGGCTCTTGTGTCCATCATTGCTCCAGCAAAGAGAGCTGTGGGATGTCCTGTGGGAAGGTGTTTCTGTTGGTTTCTGAGTTTGCACAACAAATGGTTGATCCAATTGTAATTTTCTTATGGAAAACCAGGCAAACAGAAGTGTTGTCTTACCATTTGTTGTCACAGAATTTGTACCGGTGGTCGTCGGCTGGGACGATGTCAATCAACAAAATGTACTTGGTCTTGGGGTTCATTCCAGTCACTTTGACCTTGTAACTGGGAAACATCCTCCTTGGGGAAAGCAGAAGGTTACATTAGTGAGGGATGGAAGCACTGGAAGTGATGGAAACCTGGAGCAGCAGCCCAAAAAGGAGATCTACCATCAGAGGGATTTATGTGAGGACATTATTGGTTCTTGTTCATACCTGAATTAAACTCTCCAGAGCATGTGCCAGTGCAAAAGTGGGAACAAATTTTGATAAGGGTATAGGGAGGGGGGTAGTGGGCCAGTGCCAGGAAAAGGAGAGTGCAGAGAGAGAGATATAAGGGGCTCAACACATCCTGTTTGAGGGAGGTTTGGACAAGGAGCCCTCACTTCTACACGGGGCTGTACCTGGCTTATGGCAGCTCAAAATTGCAGATTTCTTGCTGCAGTGGAAGTGTTTGAAAGATCAGGAGACCTGCCTACATTTCAGAGGAAACTGAGCACAGGCTTTGTCATTCACACAATCCAAAGATCCACCAGGTCACACCACTACCCGTGTTCCCTCCAACAAACTGAGAACTGAGGATCAGCAAAGCCTGGGGGAGACAAAGGGTTAAACCCTGTGGTGGTGCAGACAGGCTCCTCTGGCCTTCCTGGATTTCCTAAATTCACAGCACACCCATTAAACATTGCTGGAGCATGGCAGAGCATGGCAGCCTGTCCCACTGGCTTCAGCCGACACCAAACCAGAGCATCCCATAAACCAGTGCATCACTGGAGAACATTTACATGCCTTACAGACCTAAAGAGTCTTTGTGATATTAAAGAACACCTTTTTATAAAGCTATGTGGCTGTGAAAACAGCAGATTCCATCACAGTCCAGCCTTGCAATCCAAAGGAGAGGGCCCTAATGGATGCTGACATTGCCATGGGCTTCCCAATCCCTCGAGGCTGTGTCAGCAGCCAGGATTTGCAGGATTAGGCACTTCACATCCTCAGAGTAACTTTTTTCTTGGCTCCATCTTCCCCACCTCCTCCTCATCCAGTAAAAACACCCAAGTCAATAGAGCAAACTGGCTCACCACAGCCCTCCAGCCAGGACACAAAGTTCTCCTTCCCGTCTGCACAAGGGGATGGAGAATGAGAATTGCCACATCCTGGACTTGTTCTAATTACGTGAATTAAGATGGGCCCAAATCCTGATGTCCTTTCTCCATCAAACATCAAGGCCACTTTGTGCCCCACTTCATCCCTCTTTTCCTGAGCTGGTCCAAGTCTGCAGCACCATTTTGTCGCTGCTTGGGGAGAAGGCAACAAAATGGGCCCTGTTCAAAATCATTTCAATTGACTCTTTTAACCGCCCTGCATAAATTCCAGATGTTTACCATGTAATTAGCCCAGAATAAAAAGGGGTGGTTTACCAATGTCCCTCTTTGATTTTCATTCATAAACTCTGCACTCCTCTTAACCTTGTCCTCCTACAGGTAAGCACCTGGGTAAATACAGTAGGACATTTCAATTTGTGAATACACAGCCCAATTCACACATTGAAAAAAATTGTATAAGGAATCCAATCTGAATGCCAAGATTTTTTTTTTTTTTTTAAATTAGGTCTTAAAATGGCATTTAAAAATGAAACAAAAAAAAAATAAAAAAGGAGAAAATTATTAAAAACCCAAAATATGATGGACACAATTTGACAGTTTGTCATACCTACATTGGGGGTTTTTATAACACTGAGCTTCTGAATTTCTTTTTCCTTCAATCATTTCATTTACTGTAGAACATCCAAGCTGCTAAAGTAGCTGAACTGATATATTGTAAATGTTAAGTGCTTTTTTAATGGCATTTAAAATTAAGCTTCAGCATATGGAGTTCATATAGCATGGACATGCCTGAGTTTATAATGTTCTTTAGTATAGCCCTCTAAAATAAATACAAAGAGCCAAAGTACTACTATAACATATACAGCTGAAATTCTTTAAGGATAACAAATGGGGACTCACATCTGATTGAAGGTGTTGCTTAACTTGCAAACCACTCACTATCTCGCAGTGGTAGCATTGTACTCAGCAGTCCACAGACCCAGCTACGACCAAGTTTGCCAACTCTCCACATTCTTTTCCAGGAAAACACAGGGTAGATTTTAGTAATTTGGCTGTGCATAGACATTTCATCATTATTATTAGCTGCTGCATTTTGGCCTTAAAGAAAAAATATGCAACTAATGTGCTGTCCAGGGACTTGTCAGTTTAATTTTCTTAATGAAAACATATTTCTCAACCCCTTGGCAGAGGCTCGTTTAGTAAATATCTCTTTGCAATATGATACAAACATGGGTTGTGCATTTCTGGTGGGAAGGCATGACAAACCCAAGAGCTGGGGCCAAGGAAATGCAGTCATAGAGCTTGAATTAAAAAGGAAAAAAAAAGCAAGAGACAGCACCTAATATCATATCCTGGCCCTTATTAACTGTCCCATTTGAAAGAAGGGAGCAGAAAACCATGGTGGAGCTGCACCAGCCCTGCCCGGGAGCGAGGCCGTGCCTACAGTGGCTCTATAGAGCTCCCTGTCAGCCCTGGGAAGGGGCCAAAAACCTGCCTGCTTCCCCAAATTTACTCCAGGTCAATGGAGCTACTCACAGGCACGAGGAGCTGCAGCTCAGCAGAAGATTTGCACAAGCAGCCCCTCTGGCAGCCCTGTGCAGGCAGGAGCTCCGGGCGGATGGGCGGCTCCGCCGAGGATGCTCCGCTCTGGCCAGCTCCTGGACAATAGGTTGCTTCATCATCCATTGCTCGGGGACCAGCAGAGGCACAAGAATCACCCAGTGCTGCAATAAAACTTGCCAACGTCTTGCCAAGCTCTGGGAAAGCTCAGCCTGGCTTTGGTGGGAGGTCTGAAGCAAGAGCTGGGCAAATCCCTGTTTTATCCACCCTCCTTCCCGCACGGCTCCAAACCAAGGGAGAGCATTGCTGTGCAGAAACTGGGGACAAAAACTGGGAATCTGGGGCTTCCTAGGGAATGTGTGCAAGTAGGTGACATCTGATCCTCAGGGCACCTCCTGTGCCAAGGGCAGCTGCAGCCCTGCCTGGGCAAACGGGGCAGCTCGGTGAGGTTCAGTGATGGGCACAAGAGCAGCACAGCAACACCCAACTCTCAGGTGAGGTTTGAGCCACCAGTACTCAGGAGATTAGTTGCAGCAATTCCTGGCCTCAACCTATTTTGTTCAGACCCAAAACCTGTTTGGACACAGTGTCCATGCAGCGAATGCCCTGAATGTGCCAGTGACAACACCAGCCCTGGGGTGGGGATGTCCAGCACTGGACCAATTTCCTTCCAATTTATACTCCTCTTCTTGAAAGCCACACCAGGTGTGTCCAACCCAGCAGCACAGCTCAGGTGGAGGCAGCAGGGCCCACCAGCAGCCCCACAGCTTCCCTGCCCACCCAGGGACTGGCCACGAGCCCTGGGAGCACCCGTGTGATGCACAAGGGACTCAGCACAAGCAGCCAAGCACCAGCCCCACCAGCCTCTTCTGCAAAACACCAAAATTGACAGGACTCCAGTTTTAGGCACAGTCAAATCCATTTCTCCCTCCCTCCAACTCCAGCCAGAGAAGAAGGGACAGATTCCTCAGCCCTATCCTGAGGGTCTCGTGTGCCCTTCAAAACTCTCTGCTGGGTTTAGTGGCTCTGACAGACACGTTCTTGTCCCACCCCTGCATTGGTAGGGACAAAGTGCTGCTGTGCCATGGCAGCAGCTCTCACACAGCAAAACTTCAATCAGTCTTTATGTTCACAAAAGAAAGGCACCCTCAAATAAAGTGATCATGAGGAAAAGGCTATGTGTCCTGTGTGAGCAGGACATCCCATATGGCATTAAAATCCCACAGTCACTGGGTGATACCCTGGGGAGGGCAGAGCTGGCTCTGGGGACCGTGGGCAGTGGGAGCAGGGCTGGCATCACCAGGGTTTGGCACCCCACTGTCACAGCCCCAGCTAAACCCTTCCCTGCAGATGAAATGTAGCAAAAACAGTAAAAGCCAGGAAAATAAACAAGCAGAACAATTCCACAGGCCTCCCAAGCTTCAAAGATGATGTGCTAGTGAATTATTTGTTCTGATAATGAAGCAGTCACTGCTTAGCTAAGTTTATGCTAGGCACATTTTATCTCTACATGATATTCACAAATTGTTTTAAAATGAACTGTTAGAATAAGCATCTCTTGTTTATTTATTTATACTACTACTATCCAATCCCCTTAACCGTGGAGCAGTTGCTGACATGGAGCCAAAGCTTCTATTATGTTCAAACAAAGTTTAATTGATGTGTAATTGGCTGGTTGGATTTGGAAGTGAGCGATAAGAGGAAAGCTTTGCTTTCCTTTGGGGCAGCAGTTCCCAGCCTTTCAGGCTCTCCAGGCTTGGTCTCTTTGTGGGCATCTCTCATGTGTTTTAATCCCCAGATGAGCAGGTCTGGTTGATCCTGGAGAGATGGGTGGCTGCAAAGCTCCCATGTCCAACAAAATCTTGGTTTTTGGGCGGGGGGCGGCAAACCAGGAAAGTGGAGAGACTCAGAGCTGATTGAGGAACTCAAATACTCATCTGAGCAGTGACTCTGCTGTGCCACACTGCACATCAGCAACAAACCCTCACTACCCTCCTGCTCACCTGAATTCCATCTGACCTGCACTTAGATTCCAGCACCATCCCTGACATCCCTATGGATGCATTAGCTGGGAAGGGATGGCTCTGACCAGCACAAGCAGGGAATTCAAACAGTATTTCTATTTCTATTTCAAACTGCATGGAACCAGGCAGCTCAGCAACTCAAGCCATGTCCTCACCCAAGGCTGTCAGTGCTCTCTGAAGCCCATGGATTTACTTGGTGTTCACTGCACATCCCTGAGGTGTGGATGGTCCTTCAGATACTACTGAGTGCTTCCTTCCGTCCTTTCAAGAGGATGAAAAACATCCCCAAGCACTTCAGCAGCTCAGCAGCTGAAATTCTATTTTTTAAGACAATAAGACAAAGACTTTCAAAGACAGACAGAGTTTTTACAATCCTTGCTTTTGGGATGGTCAAG